AAGATAAGTAACTTGTGCGCACAATTTGCATTTTCAAAATGTATTTCTGTTTTGGAAAAAGTCCTTATGCCATCAACAAAACCTTCAGCTTACACAAAGTCACAGTCATTTTTAGTGCAGACAACAGTACTGAAAATAAAATTACTACACCATACATGAAGACTAAAATTCTTTGTGAAAGAGAGGAGGCATGCCAGGACAAAAAAGATGTGTGTGTGTGTGCTGTGTGCTAAATGATTAATGAAAAATAATAATTAGAAAGAAGTAACCTTAACTTACCATCCATGGTGGTTTAATCTTCAGTGAAAGATTAAAATACGTTTGGCTCTGTCAGACTGACTTCCTGCTGTGTTTCTTTGCTCGTGAGCTCTGACTCTGTTTTTGTTCTAGTTTCTCTTTCACTTGCTGTTTACAGTGTGTGTGTGTGTGTGTGTGTGTGTGTGTGTGGTGTTCTTTATATAAATAAAGAACACATTCAGTCCATTTAAGTGTAGCATCTCATCTTGCAGCTTAATGTGCATTGTTCAGTCCTGACAGAAATAGCTGAAAGTGAGAGTGAATAGACTATCAGAGTGTATGTGAATGTGTTTCCTGTATCTTCTGAGTTTGAGCGCCATTTTCACTTCCTGACTGCACAAAGTGCAAATGTGCTGAACTTCTTTTCATCAAATTAATTTGCAGGCCTTGCTGTTCAGCTTAATATCCATCATGAACATTGCACCAAACAAAGTACCACTGCAAGCTAAAACTTTATTCGGTCTAATAGCATTATTTCCAAATGTATCTCCACTGCAGAAAGTGTTGATTTACATAAGATTTGCCGAAATACATTCAATCATTTTTGCAGGGTTTCAGTTTCATAATATAACATAATAAAGGTGAACATGAAAAGAAGAAACATCTTATGTCTACATGAATATATTAACTTACAACAATATAAACTAACCCTAAACATTTGAATTAGATTTTTATGTCCACAAGAACAAGAGGTAAAAGTAATTTTACATCTGGAAGACCATGAAGTGCAGAGAAAAAAACTGAGGATTAAAGGACGGTGAACATTGATACCAGGAGACACTAAAAGTTGTTAATATTTGCCTTGGTGATATATATTGTAATCTACAAAGAACTACAACTATTTTTTTTTCAGGAGATCAGCAGGCCTGTCTCACAAAATAATGGTAACTTAGAATAAGTGATTGAAGACAAGAACAGAAAAAAGTACAACATATTACATATTAATATACATCATCAGCTCTTTGTTTAGAACACTATTTTCAATTTTCAATCTACAAGAAGATAAACCTTTTAAATTATTAATTAATGATCTCCCCCTTCACAAATCATGGCTCATTATGGGTTAAAACTGTTTTGACTTTGGCTGTGAGAGTGTTTCTGAGATAGCTATGGTTTCATTCTTCACAGCCTCTGCTGCTCTCTTTACTGCTTCCAACACTGTGTCTGCTCCCTCAGCTGCATAATATCCTTCAACACCTCCTTTCACCGCTCCCACTACAGCACTACCTATAACTGCTGCTGCTGCTGCTGCTGATGCTATACATACTGCTGTTTCTCCTGCAGCTGCTGTTCCTACAGCTGTTCCTACAGCTGCGGCTGCTTTGGCGGCTTTTGGAATGTCTGTTTCCTTTACAAGTTTGACAACTAGTTTAACCATCACTACTACACCAAACAAAGCTCCTAACACTGCACCTGTTGCAGTACCTGCCAGTCTGGTCAAAAGCTTCCCAAATACTCTGCGCTTAGCCTGCTCTCTGATCTCTTCCTCTGACATGTTTCCTGGTAACAGTCTAATGTGCTCCTCCTCTTGTTGTATTTCCTCCTCCACTGCTTGAAGCATCTCATTGGTGTAGCAGCTTCCATTGTTTTCCATCACCATCTTGTCTATGGACTTAAGTAGCTCCTCCACCTGGAACTGGTTGCTCCTGTATTCATCCTTTGGGTTTTCGTTCCAGTGTTTATTATCAATGACATGGCACCTCCCACCACACTTCTCCACCAGATCATTCACAAACTTATTCTGACTGACAAAATCCTGAATTGTCTGTCCTTCAGGGAGCTGGTCACCATGAGTGAAGACAACTGTTGCATATTTGAAGATTTCTTCAGAAAAGTATTGGATTATTTTGGTGATGACCTGTGAATCTCTCCACTTTAAGAACAATGAGAAAAGCATGAGGCCCAGGAACGCACTCTGTGATACACCTCACTATCTCACGCTTCAGCTCCTCCTCAGATCT